GGAGGGTGAAGAAACCCAAAATATCAGGTTTTTTTGCCTCACCACAAAATGATTTCACCCTCTGTTTTGCTTCGCAAGGGCAATTTTCGGTTGTTTTCCCAGACATGCGAGGGGTAAACGGTGGCAGTCATTAAGGAGATTTTGCAGCTCGAGTAGATGAGTTTGCAGACCACAGGTATTAGGAAACGGTAGAACATGACTGTCTGCGGGCGGCATGTGTTGTCTAGCGGAGAGACAAAGCCGGGCATGATGGGTACAGATGATCGTCAGACCAAACAATCCCAACGTGAGTCACATGATGAATCGCTGCTGGGTTTTCTGGTTGGACTGCAGGTGAAGTGACACCGCAGGAGGCTCAGACTGATTTATGGGAATGAATCTGTACAGAGTCACCAAAAATAAATGCCAGTTTTTTTTCAGCCGGTAATTATTTTTTTGTCCCAAAATACGATGCGTCTTCATGACATTTGTTTTAAAACGTAACTTCACACTTACAACAAAAAGTGCAGAAGTTTTACAACCTGTTCAGATAGTTGGGTTTCTGTAAAGATGATGCAAAACTATGAAGAACAGCAGTGAGATTTGAGATTAAAAAACTAAAATATAACACTGACAGACGACCATGTGAGCAACACAGCAACACATTCACAACTATCAGAAGGCAAAAGAGACCAAAAAGAGTCCAGAAGTTGGACTCCTGACTGTTTCAAACTTCACTAGAGCTAAACAGAAGAAAAGTCTTCCTAGAAATCTGGATAAAACAAACGAACAGTGCTTCCTAACACAACTCTTCCCTTCGCAAATCACTGCAGGGATTCGGCTGAGCCGGGACTCGTAGCCATCGGACTCTTGGTGAGATGCAAATCAGCTGCATGTGTTGTCCTGGAAGTCAAATCATTAGTCAAACCAAAAACCATCTCAAGCTTCAGCTGCATGAAACCAAACGTCTGCCCCAGAGGAGAGGAGGAGGAGGGTTGTATGAGGAGGACTTCAGTGTGGTCGAAACCGTGACGGCAGAATCATAAACTCAAATGCAACGAGCTCCCTAAAAAAAAAAAAACATGTCGAAAGCCACGTTTAAGCCATATCAGATTATTGATCTTCAGGAATCATTAGGCGTGACTGGCGACAGCTTCTTGATCTGAACGGCACCGAGTTACTCTGTAACTGCCCCCGTCGTCCCCACCGGTGATACAGCGACGAAAGAATCTGGAAATAGGTTTCATATCAGTTACTTATTCTGCCATTAAAACAAAGGAACAGGAGGCAGATTAGCTCCAGATTGTAAGAAACGCAAAATGAGATCCGAAACAAATCATGTTTGATGAGGAGTCATGCTTTCTGCCCTTCAGCCCAAAATGTCAGTGCTTGTAAAGGCTGGTTCTTCTCTAATGTAATGTAATGACACATAATTTCCTCAAAGACAAACAGCTTCTCTCTGTTCCAGCTTGTCAGATGTGTGGTTTTGCTGCTTATCACGGCTTTACATTATTGTGAAGTGGACATTTTCTGGAGTGATGTTTTTAACCTCTGATTGGACGAAACAAGCAGGTTTATAACTTTAAACTGGATTCTTGGCATTTTTCACAGAGAAATAATGAATCTAATCATTTTAAAAACGTACTGAAAATGGAGCCCTGTAGCGTATATTGCTCAACTTTAAATAAGACGGCTAAAGAAGCATCGTATCATTCACTTTCATCCAGTTCAGCCATGTGATGCTAGTTTGGAGCAGAAATATCTCAAATCAAACAAAACCTCAAAGGGGAGATCTCTTGAAATGGCGGCTGCAGCTTTACATTTTCAAATTCAGCATGCAAATCCGTTTGCCGTTTACGTAAATGCCACTGCTATGTCCATTGAAAAGGCCTCTACACATCAAAGGCAACCCGTGAGTAGTTTTCCACATTCATTGTCTGCAGTCAGGAATTTATCTACGTTAAAATTATCCAAATACCTCACGTAAAGAAGCTACAAAGGCGAGTTATGCAACAGCTCAGTTCTCAGCCCTCCAGAGCTGCGAAATTCCTCCAGTGACTCAGGAGTTATGAAAGAAAAACGTCATCTGCAGCCATAAAAGCGCTCTACTCAGTATTTAAATGTACCAAATGGCACATTTCGGAGCATTTTACTGTCTTTTAGCTTCGTTTTGGTGCTGAACGTTTCCCTCACGTTCATGTTTGGCAGCAGCAGACGTTGGTTTTTAGCAAAGTAGCCAAATTAGCACCAAGTAGCATCCAGACAATGAAGTTGGCAACTAACTGGTGAACATAGTGGACTAGCTAGCAGATAAAGAGAGGTGGTGGAGACCCAAACAGAGCTACAAGAGAGTTCACATGGGGCTTGTGTTCATCAGGGGGGCAAAAACTGAGCTCAGGAATGTCGGGAAAAGTCATATATCACTGAATATATTAAGTTTTAAAAGAACTTCACCTTAATGGAAAAGACTCAGACTACAAGACTTCTGAATGCTGGCTATTTAAAAACAAGTGAAGATAAAGGCGTTGCTCCAACAAATTTAGCCAAAAGATTATTGATCTTAGCGTTAAAGTTTTGACAAATTACTCGGCAGCAAAATTAGAAATGCTTCGGTTTCCCTGCACGTGACCGCGCCCGGCCGCTCTCGTGAGGCTTTTCTCGTTGCTGCTTGTGACTTTCTCATGAGGTCGGCCTTTATCATCCTCCCGTCTCGCCTCGGGGCGGCTTACGGAGATGCGGGTGCTGCTCAGACAGGTCGGGCAACATGCGGCTGTCACGACACCGCTGAGTTAAGCGCTCTTTAAAACGCCAACACAATGACACAAAGGCGCGTCTCAGGAGGCCAAAGAAAACAACAGAAAGTGGAAAAAGACAAAAGGGGGCCGGCTTCTGTTTTTACGCCAAACTTTCTGTTATGCTTCGGTTTAGCCAGAAAGTTTGGCTTCAAATCAAGGCTAGAAGAAAAAAAACAACAACAGATAAACAGGTGGTAAAAGAGAGTGGCTTGTGTTTGTGTCTTTCATGCATTGTGATCTGGAAAACTGACTCCATGAACCTGCACGCTGAATAAAGAGCAAATAAGGTAAACCCTCTCAAGCTGCAGCTGGCATTCATCTGCCTGAGGGGCAACTTTTTCATTGAACCCGACCTTTTGTACTCGAGAACATCACGTTTTGCATAAAAGCAATCATTGCACGTCAACTCAATGTGAAACCAGCAAAACAAAAAAAAAAAATCTGGCTATTTTACCTCGAGCCAGAGTTCACAACGACCAACAAAGTCCCACATCAGTGCAGCTGACAGTGTCACTGGTGGTGATTTAAAGCTATACTGCTGAGCATATCTGGAATCAGTCAACTCTTTGCCTTTTAATGCTGAAGTCAGCATAAAACTGCTCTTCAGGTTTCGGAAATCCCGCAAGCACACAAAACCAGTTCAGGCTGTAAAATGCTTGTGTTTATGACGGCCTTGTCCTACATTTATCTGCAGCGAGATAGGACGTACACGGTGTTGTCTTTATCACACGGAAACTCTGAAGACGTGAAAAATAAGAAATCTTGCTTATTGTAAGCTTTGTTGTGTTGACGGAGAATAACAGGCTTGAGCCGTCGATTTGTTGGTTATTTTTGTCCCTATTTCCGCTTAATGATGCAACACCTGAGCAATAATTGAGAAATATTTTTGATCATAATTCATTCAAACAGATGGATGGAAGATGAATTTCGAAACGACACCACCATCATGAAAGCTGACGTGGCCGATTAGATGCAAACAGCAGAAATAAAGAAACAACTACAGATCTACAAACTAATAAAACTGAATATCGGCTACAAACAAACCCACTACCACATTACACGAGTAACCTGCAGAAATCTGTTTGACAGCAGCTGAGGAGAGCTGCAGTCAGTTCAAAACAGCTCGAGCATGTGACTGCTTTCACTCCGTGTTTGCATAAAAATCAACAGCGTGGATCCAGCCTGCTCCATTACAGGCTGCTTTGTGCTCAGTGTGATGCACGCAGGCAGGACAAAGAGCGCATCAGATCTGCATGCAATCGATGCTACCAGAAGGAAGAACAAAAAAAAAAAAAAACCTCCAAGAACACAGTGTACAAACATCTGTAAGCTACCAAACCCAGACTGGGTTCTGCACTGCTGGTGCTGCTGGGTTTGAGCCTCGGGTCTCTGGATGTGCTGCCTGTTTACCAAACTCTGCGTGAAGGCGTCCAACATACAGGCATTTGACTTTTACTGTCAGGTCTGTGATCAACAACAGCAGGCGGCGGAGGGGAAGTCACCATGTCGGATTATTTCTATGTTTACTTCCTGAAATGTGCAGGCGCCGAGCATCCACCGACTAAAGAGAGACTCTGCAGAATTGTCTAAATGTGCTGGTGCGTCATGTGATCAAACCTCATGACTGGAGAGAATCTGCAAGTAAAGATGGTGATCACAGTTTGAGGAAGCATGTGGACTCTCTGACTGGAGCTCAGCGTCGGTGTAGCAGTGAAAAAACAAAGATCAGCAGCCCATTTTGAACAGCGTGACTCCTGTCATATGAACCAAACATCCAACTAGAATCATTTTATTATCTCCTCTCCATGTTGTTTGACATAAACACGACCGTTCTCTCACAAACACACATAAACCAACCTGGTTCTACTAAAACCCACCTTCCTGATGTGACAGCGTGACAAATAAAGTTGGGTTTGAATCATTTGTGTGGCACAGCAGCCACTAGGTGCCTCCAACAGAGCTTACAAATGAACTTTTCTAACCTGTCAGGTGTGTGTGTGGGACTTTAACCCGCCTGTACAGGTGAGCTGCAGGTAAATCAGCCTGTTAAACCAGACATAAAAGTGTTTTTTTAACAGCTTCTTTACCCAAAGATCTGGTTTTAATTTCGCCCCAGGCAGCCACACTGTCTGTTTAAATAAGGGGGGAAATAAATGCATGTATTTTAAAACCAGCCAGACAGGCCGGGGCTCCGGTTCCTCTCAGCGGGTCGGCAGAGATTCTTACCCCGGGCTTGACGTCCTCGAACACGGCCGCGTCCTCAGCGCCGTCCGCCCCCGACATCCTCACCGGCTTCAGCTGCGTGAAAACCGCCCTTTCTTCTGTCGTGTGCGGCGGATTCATAGCCAGTCCTACACTCGCTGCCATTCACAAACTATTTAGTTTTTTTTTTTTTAGTTTATCTTCTTGGGGAAACTTGTGTTAAAAGCACATAAAGGGTTCTGGACGTGAAGCTGCGTCCGGTCGGAGCTGGAAGCTACGGCGTAAAATCCACAGACCTGCCTTTTCTTCTGGCTCTCAGGTAGGTTTTACCTGAGCTCAAGTACGGACCTGCTACCTGGAGAAGACGGCGGGGCCAATCAGAGCAGAGGACGGGTCGCACGGTCCAATCGGGTGCAGGGAGGGAGGCGGGACTCACCTGAGAGCCCCCATAAGAGAGGGCGAACACCTGGAGGCAGCAGGTGAAGAGCTGCCCCCTCAACCGAGCACACAGACCAATTATAATGTATTTACATGTTATACCTGGAACAAACTAGCTGCTGGTTGAAGAGTTTTTATTTCTGAATGTTGGACTTTTTTAACCCATATCATTCAAATTTAATAAATGAATTAATTAACCTGTGATTTAAATTAAAATTAAAAGCTTTTCTGGTGAAACGGTGGAATCAGGTGAGACTTGGGATGCTGCGGGCAGAACTTCTACCAACATCTGTACAGTCATGCATCCTTCAGGAAGATTTAAAGTCCAGTTTATGGTCATCTTGCTCATTTTTAATTGTTTTATTGGAATCAAACAGAATTTATGAACTAAATTTGAAGGCAGTGACACGGAGTGATTAGGATGGGTGCTCGTCAAACACGGGACAAATGAAGAGCAATAAAGATTTCATGACAAAGTCTTAGTCACAGCAGGTTATAACAGACACGGACTGTTACGTAGAAACGTAAATGAAACAGAGACTCACGTGTGATCAGGAGCTCAGGCTCTTCAGTGAGTCACCGCTGAGCAGGGATTTAGTGCTTTCTGATGTTTGACAGGATGAGTGTTACGAGCATGAGCCGCCAGATCAGATATTCACTGAGGTGGCATCCGAGATGAACAAGCAAAATATCTTGTATTGTAATAAATGAACAGTTCTGTCATTCTTTTGAATTATTTACTGATATGTTGCAGATTTTCCCTGATAATCTGTAGAAAAATCACAGAAATAAAGTATTAACTTGCAAATTAACTGAAAAAAGGCCCAAACTTTTAAGAGCATCAACAAAAGTCTGTGTTTTTTTTTTTTTTTCACAAATGAGCATTTTGACTGTAAAATTATACCTGTTATGAAAGCCATTGTTTTACAGATATTGGTCATTATTTGAAAGAAAATTGATGCACACGAATCAAAAAAGAAGAATTTATTTTTAAAATGTATTTTACAGATTTCTCCCATTTTGTAAACATCAAACATTTTTTTTGTTTTATAATGTTTGACTGTGAAATTAAACTTTTTTTCTTATTATATTTAAATATATATATTTATATAGATAGATAGACAGACAGACAGACAGAGAGACAGACAGATAGATAGATAGATAGATAGATAGATAGATAGATAGATAGATAGATAGATAGATAGATAGATAGATAGATAGATAGATAATTTTGCTCCCTTTGGATAAAGTGAATTCCAGATAATATCCATAAGAAAAAGAAAATAGAAGATGTACATGGTAGCTGTACAAACAAAAAATGATGCCAAAACTGTGTCACTTTCACATCAAAAATCTGTTTTGTTTTTTTTACAAATATTTATTTGTTCTTTTATACATTTGACCATAACATTAAATCCTTTTACCATTTTAGAAATTTGAGCCATTATTAGAAACAACATTATTGTATATTAAAGATTAAAATATCAGATTCTGTCAAAATTACAGAAACTATCCAGTAAAAGCCCAGAAAAAATTTAAGTTACATGATAGCTACAAACAAACAAACAAACAAACAGAAAGTCACGCCAAAACGGCCAATAATGTTCACATCAAAAATCTGTTTGTTTGTTTTTTACTAATTTTTATTTGTTTTTACAGATATTTGTTGCTATTTTATTTTTATTTTTTATGTATTATTTAAACATGACAGTATTCCAGCTTTATAAACATATTTTTGCTGCCAAGTTTTCTACCACATTTATTTATTTGTCCTTTACAGTCCAGTGTTATAGACTCAGTGTAGCTCCAACGTAAAACCAACAGGACAAAGGTAAAGAAAACACCTCATTTATTGCTTTTTATTTTTGATTAATACCTTCAGCATGGTCTCCTGTGAATCATTACAGCCTGAAGTTTTTCCCTTTTGCAAAACATCTTGGCGTGTCGCCTCCAACAAAAAGCACCAGTTGTCTTATTGTCTCCAGAACAATGCAGACACTCATTTCCGATGTACATAAATGGACTCTTTCAGGAGCGTCTCTGTCATTATTTTGATATACAGTACATACCTTAGAGTCACAAGCGTCACGCAGTGATGCAACGCGCTTTGTTTCGTCAGTGCTGACAGATATCGAGCCACTCATTTTGGCATTTCCATCAACCGGTCCTGCCACCACAAACGGATAAGAAGGACTTTGTTGTGGATCAGATGCGTGGATGTGGTGAAGCCGGTCTGGAATCAGTGCATTAAAGCGTTTAGAACATGGTTCCACTGGTCACAGAGAAACTTTAGTTGGCCTCGGATACATAGATGTGACATTTGGCCCTTTGGGGTTGTCTTATTATTTATTTAGCTGCACCCACTCATTAACCCAAAATAATTAAAAAATTGTGACAAAACAGCCGTAAATATTACATTTTAAGCCCAAAATGGAAACTAATCATTTGCTTTAGAGGTCAGTTGTTGTGGTGCTAAACCACAGCAGGCTGGAATGGTATAAAAGTATTATGCTGAGATGATTTTGTCCTATTTTCAGGCTCCCATCAGCTAAAGGTAGCTTATTAACCCTCAGAACTGTCCAGACATTTGTTGCGTCTGTCATGTTTTACTCACTGTGGACTCACTTTTCACTATAATCCAAAAGTCCTGCAGCTCCATGGAAGCAGCACAACCGTGACTAGAAGGAGAGAACTCAGAAACGTCTTCAGCTGAAAACTCCCCAAGTTTTTGTCAAGCGACTGACGGTCATAGTCGAGTCAATCGTGGCCTGTTTGTTACGCCAAGGAGCACAGAATGTTTGTTTTGTTTTGTTTCAGGATCTGATATAAATGGGTTATTTTGCTTTCTGACTGTTGTATCTGTGTTTCTGATCTTGTAAAAGTAAAGAAAGTGAGTTCCTTTGAAAGCATGGTATGTTTTTGCACAATGATTTAGATAAAGTACTTTCAAACAGCATGAATGAACAGAAAATCAGAAGTTTTTACAAACATTTTACATGTTTGCACATTTCGCTGCCATCTATGTTACTGTTATCATTACATTACATTTGAACTGAGACTATTTTGTGTCACAAGTCTAAATGTTTAATATCATATATCTGATGTCATTTAACATGTAGGTAGATCTACGCTTTATCATTTTTAAAATTTTGTAATTTATTGAAGCTATTATTTATTTGTGGGCTTACTTTGTGTGTTATGCTGGATTACAAGTTTACAAAGTGATTGAGCTTTGTTGAATTTGCTTTGTGGAACCAAAAAAAACCTGACAACAAGTCTGGCTAACTAAAATAAACCAGGTTTATTTGGTCAACTCCAAACGTTATGGAACCGGCCCAAGGTTTCATTAACTACTGAGATCCATCCCCACCGAAACACATCCCACAGACACATATTACATTCTTCAGTCCGGTTCTTAACTAACCAACCTTTAAGCTATTTTGTCTGTTTGCTACCATCAGCAGAAAAACACACGATAAAGTCTGTTAGACGAGTTGCACATTCTGTCCAGAGTTGTTCCACATAACGGGTGTTGTCTGGCCGTCTGTAATAACAGGCAGCGGTGTACCAGAGACGCTTCATCAGAACATTTTGTCATTGCAAAAGTAAAAACATACCATCAAGGTTTTATTGTCTGATTGCGTCAGTTCGCTGCTGTCAAACCGTGATGGCAGGTCGTGAGAAAGTTGATGTGGATTCTGTTTATACTGAATATAATAGCAGAGATCTTCCCTGATCCGGTTTGGTTCGTCCCACTGGTCGGCCCGCATAGTTGCAGGCTACAATTATCCAACAGTAGAACAAGCTGTGATCAAAAGAGCTAGAACAGTTCTCTGTACGCCGAGCAACCGCGGACGGGAGTGATTCCAGGAGGAAGGTTCAGTCCAGGACGTTCTGCGGTCCTGACCTGGATCCTGACCGATCTGCCGTTACAGCATGAATCGTATTCTGTCCGCAAATCCAATTACAAAACCAAAATCCATAATGCTTGAACCCAACTGTCAATAATTCCTGACTGCAGTTAATTGATTTCTTCTGCAGATGATTAATGCATCGTTTCTTTTTTTACAAGCCTCTGTAGTCATGCTAGCAGCTCTGTAAGGCTGTACTCTAAGCTAAATGCTAGCCTCAGCATGCTAAATGGTCACAATGACAATGCTAACATGTTGATATTAAAAGTAGATGTTACTTTTTTTATCACGTTTTCCATCTTATTTGATGTTAGCATGCTAAAGTGTGCCATTTAGTGCTGAACACATGCTGACAAGTGACTGAATTGTTCCTCTGATTGTGGTGCCACATAGAAGATCATCAATTTAGTGACTGACGAGTGACTTACATTTGGATTCTAGTTTGGATTCATAGCACGAGTATTTCACCTGAACTTACAGGTATCAGCGTCATGGTGGAGATAAACCACGAGTTCATCAACATCATTGGGTTTCATCATGACGGTGTCGTGGATATCTGCACCAAAAGTCGTGGCTGTTTAGACATTTTAAGAAAATGCTAAATGTTGCCCTGCTAATGGCATTAGAGGTAAAGTCTGAGGATCACCAAATTCACAAAGACAACAACAGCTGCATCAGTGTTTTCCAGTTGACAGCTTCTTTCCTCTACAGTCAGTGATATTTGAACTGACTAATTAATAACACTATTTTTCTAACGACTTAATGTTCTGAACTCTAGGAGGATAAATATTAAGTTATTAGCCCAATTTACTATAATTTTAGTTTCAAATTAGTTAACACCATAATCTTCGTTTAAATTACAGGCAGTGATTCAGTTCAGGCAATTACCAACATTATTACGTCAACACAACGCATCAGAACAATGTTTGCAGCCTAAAAGGTAAATCTGAGCCAATAAATTTTATTTTATATTT